AGTCTAGTGGAGTCAGTCTCCCCACCATCACAGACATTTACACCTCTAGATGCAGGAAGAGGACCACCTGCGTCATGAATTACCCCACTCACCCAACACACACACTTTTTTCCCCACTCCCCTCAGGAAGGAAGTTAAGGAGCATTAAGTGTAAAACCACTAGACTGAGGAACAGCTTCTACCCTGAGGCTGTTAGACTCATGAATCTCTAACCAGAATAATCACTGTGAAAAATCACATCACGTTGCTGCTGATCTGTTTCATGTTGCTGCTGATCTGTTTCATGTTGCTGTGTTCATGCGTGCACATCTGCTCACACTGACTCATGCTCATGCTGCTGTTCGGCGTAATGTTTTTATGCTATTAGTGCTTAGTGTATATTTAGTTGATGTTTTTCTTAGTTCATATCTTAGATCTTATTACTGTTTTTTTTTTTTACATTTTATTGTTGGATGTAACTGGGACCCTGTGTACATAATTTTGTTCCAACACATGTACCACATGTGGTTTGAATGACAAATAAAGAACCTTGAATCCTTGAATATTGGTTGATTGTAAATAGAATTCAGTCAGACTTCAACTATTTTTTCGCAGTATTGAGTCAAATTTTTGAGATGCCAACAAGTCCTCATCTGTTGCAGCCCATTGAGACAATACCTTTACCAGTGTTACCACCTGTTAGAAAATGTGCTGGACCAAGTCTGTACTTGTTTAAATTGAACACATTTGTAAAGTTGGTGTTAAATCAGAATTTAACGCTGTGAAGTGATTGTTTCATATGTACTTTTATTATTTTTTTGTTATGTCAACTATAGGTGGTAAGGGCTTCATGTTCACTGTAAGTGACATAAAAGCTGGTGTGGTCTGTTATCTCCATGACGACAGTGACTCTACCAAAGACTTCATCATCTTTCGCATTACTGATGGCCACCATCAGACCCGACACAAGTTCCCCATCAAGATCCTCCCCAAAGATGACAGTCCTCCTGTTCTCATAACTAACATGTTGTTGGAAGTTTCAGAGGGACAGACTGCTTTACTTAGTGGCTCCATCCTCCAGGCTGCAGACATGGACTCCAGTGATGACTACATCCTCTTTAACATCACCCGCCTTCCACAGGCTGGAGAGATCATGAAAATGCCAGGACCAGGCTTGGCAGGTCAGGAAAATAGGCCTTTTTGGTCCTCTGTGGTCAATTTCTGTTTTTGCTCATCTCATGCTTATGTTTGTCTTAAATAGGTTACCCAGTGGGCCACTTTCTACAGAAGGACGTCACTCAGTCTATAGTTTACTATAGACACTTTGGGAGTGAAGTGTTTGCTGACTCTTTCGAGGTGGTGCTGTCTGATTTCCATGATCCCCCCAACCTGTCAGAACCTCAAGTGAGTAACAGCAAAACAACAGGAAGGACATGTAGGAAGTTTAGAGTTTTAAGTGTTAGCATTAGAGTGCTATATAGTATTTAACAAGTGGTACACCATTGTTTCCCGTCGCTGAGGGATTAGAATAGTGAAAATTTATAGTTGTTGAGATGAGTGTTTTTCTGGACTAGAATTTAATAGGGAATGCAAGTAAACCTTAACTTTTTTGTTGCAATATATTCAAGTGGGTAGAAGGTACGCCATGTAAGAGAGAAGTGGTAGTTGTTTTTTTTTTTTTTTGGGGGGGGGGGGGGGGGGTTGTCTGATGCAGTATAGATTTTAATGGGGCAACCCAGTTTTTGAAAGGAACTTTTTTTATGCCCAAATGCAGCCACACACCAAAATGGAAGTCTGTTTATTATTATTTTACTTCTTTTTCAGGTTATGCTCACAACATGCATGGATGGATGTATTCTAAATCCCCCTGTTTTTACACAAAGGGGAACAAAATGTCATGACAAGTTATATTATTGTGCAACAAAGCAATAACAATATCAATTGTGATGAGTCAGTGTCCTCATCACTATCATCTAAACAAGGTATGGCGTCAAGGCCAGTAAGAGTGTGTTGCAGTTTCCAGATATATTAATTCAATTCCATCCATCCATCCATTATCTTTACCCGCTTATTCCATTTTGGGTCACGGGGGGTCGCTGGTGCCCATGTCCAGCAATCACTGTGCGAGGGGCGGGGTACACCCTGGACGGGTCGCAAGTCCATCACAGGGACACATAGAGACAAACAACCATTCACTCTCTCACTCACACCTAGGGACAATTTAGAGTTACCAATCAGCCTAACATGCATGTTTTTGGTCTGTGGGAGGAAACTGGAGTACCCGGAGAAAACCCACGCATGCACAGAGAGAACATGCAAACTCCACCCAGAAAGGCCCCTGGACCGGGGTTTGAACCAGGGACCTGTTCGCTGAGAGGCAGCAGCTCTACCAGTTGTGCCACCGTGCTGCCAATTCAATTCAATTCAGTTTATTTATATAGCACAAAGTCACAACAGAAGTTGTCTCAGGGCTCTGTACAAAAACATTCACATTCACATACATTCATACATACAAAAAGCCGATTAGTAAAACTTCTAGGATTTATCAAAAAGGAAAGACTTAAGTCCAGTCTTAAAACTGGACAATGTGTCAGCCTCACGGACATAAACTGGAAGTTGGTTCCACAAGCGAGGAGCCTGATAACTGAAAGATCTTCCTCCCATTCTGCTTTTGGAAACTCTAGGAACCACAAATAAACCTGCAGTCTGAGAACAAAGTGCTCTGTTAGGAAAATATGGAACAATAACATCTGTAATAAAAGATGGAGATATGTTGTTGGGATTTTTGTATGTTAGAAGTAAGATTTTGAATTTTCATTTAACCTTTAATTATACAGGTTAATCCCACTGAGCCTCAGGAATTTTTCTGAATTAGACAGGGAGCCAATGGAGAGAAGCTAAAACTGGAGAAATATGATCTCATTTCAACTCTCACTAAAACTCTGGCAGCAGCATTGTTGATCAACTGAAGACTTTTTAAATTATTTTTTGGACACCCAGATAATAAACAATTGCAAATGTTCAGCCTAGATGTGATAAATTCATGCACTATTTTTTCTGCATCATTTTTGGACAAGGTGTTTTTTTTTATTTTAGTGATATTACGCAGGTGGAGGAAAGTGGTCCTGGTAACTTTTTTAAGGTGGGGGTTAAAATACATATTCTGATCAAAAATAGCACCAAGGTTTTATAATTATAACTAGAGGCCAAATTAATGCCATCCAGAGGAAGTGAAAGACTGCAAAATGTATTCCTAAGATGCTCAGGTCCAAAAACCAAAACCTCTGTCTTCAGTTTAAAAGCAGAAAATTAAGGGTCATCCAGTTTTTGTCTTTAAGACATGATTGTAATCTGGGTAACTGACGTGATTTATTGAGTTTCATGGATGTAACTGAGTATCATCAGCATAACAATGAAAATTTAGTAAAGTGCTATGTGTTGTCATCATTACATGTTCCCATACAATGGCAAAATTATTTCTCTGCTTTTGACCCATCACATGTGAGATACACCCAGATGGAGCAGTGGACAGATATGTAGGTACCCGGGGAGCACTTAGGGATTGGGTGTCTTGTTCAAGGACATCACGACGTGTGGGCATGGCGGAGAGTTGAACCTACGACTTTCTGGTCCCAAGTCGGCTGCCCTATTTCTACACCATCTCAACCCCCCATCCCATGCTTTTTAACAAGTTTACATAATGGAAGCATATATAAAGTAAAGAGTTGGTCCATTGGTTCAAGCACTGAACACTGAGGAACTACATGACTAACTTTGGAGTATGAAGAAGATTCATTATTTACATTTACAAACTGGAATCTATCAAATAAATATGATTTAAACCATTTTAGCGCCATTCCTGTAATTGAAATATCATATTTTCAATTCAATTCAATTTATTTATATAGCGCCAAATCACAACAAAGTTGTCTCAGGGCACTTTACAGGAACATTCACATAAAAGCCAATTAGTAAAGTTCTCTAAGGAATCCAGCAGACAAGTTGAATCTTGGCTTCGTTGCAGTCTCCCATCCTGAGCAAGCACAGTGGCAACAGTGGAAAGGAAAAACTCCCTTTTAAAAGGAAGAAACCTCCAGCAGAACCAGGCTCAGGACAAGCGGCCATCTGCTTTGACCGGCTGGTTTGAGAGGACAGGAAGGAGAGACAGACGAACACAGAATGGTAGGTCCAGGTGTACCTGAAAGACAAAAAAAAAACCACATGTTAAGGATAGAAAAAAATAATTACAAATACAAAACAGGTTGAGCAGAGTAAGTAAAGATAGTAGTAGAGTGAAAATTGTGGTCAATTTGTCCTCCAGCAGTCTAAGCCTATACCAGCATAACTAAGGGACAGCTCAGGAAACCCAAGCCGACCCTAACTATAAGATTTAGCAAAAAGGAAAGTCTTAAGCCTAGTTTTAAAACTGGACAATGTGTCAGCCTCACGGACAGAAACTGGAAGTTGGTTCCACAAGAGAGGAGCCTGATAACTGAAAGCTCTTCCTCCAATTCTGTTTTTGTAAATTGTAGGAACCACAAGTAAACCTGCAGCCTGAGAGCGAAGTGCTCTGTTAGGAAAATATGGAACAATAAGATCTGTAATATATAGGAATTTGAGGTGGGCACATGGCTATGGGTGGTGGGATGACCTTACTCTCACCCCCTGTGCCTGTGCTCACAACGGTTGCATTTAGACACTAGGGTTTGGATAGAGTTGGGGTGGAGGGGAAACTGGCACCATGCCAGCCTTGCTCCTTCTTCTTTCCTTTTTAATGGCACTATACAACAACACACATCAACAGCACATCTAGGGGTGGGGGTGTATGTGTCGGGGTCTTATTTTTAGTTATTTATTTATTTTATTTTATTTTTTTTCTCCTCTTCCTACCCACCTAGTTCCCTGACTGCCATTCCGGGGGTGGGGTCCGGGAGAAGGGCAGGCCGTCGGGTGTTGACCAGGACTATGTGGGGGTTCAGGGTCTGGGGGTTGCCGTGGGCGGTGCTGGCGCTGTGCTCTCCCTGGGGTTGTTTGGACCCCCTGAGCTTGGCTCTTGGGTGCCATGGTTGGCCCGCTGGCCGGGGTGGCTGACGGGGCCTGGCGGGCGGTCGGCTGGGGGTGCGTGCTTGGTTGTTGGCGGTGTGTGGGGGTGGTCGGTGGCGTGTCCTCTTCATG